AACAGGGTTGTCCAGGCAAGGACCCTTGCACTGAATCCAAGAGCTTTCTTCATGCCTTTTGGATGCCATTCCCTCACCCTGGTTGTGTCAGATGCAGTGTTGTCTTCTTTAGATTCAGTATCTTCAGATTACAGCAAAGGATATACCTCCTGTTTTCAGCATCAACTATTAGGTAGAAAATCCTCATGAACAATGTTACAAATCTGACTGTGAAGCCACTAAGTGACACTCACTGGGAGAGCTTTATTGTCAGCATAAGGCCAGTGAGGTACCAAGCGACTGAGGTTTACGAAGCCCTGATGGAATTGGCACAGTCAAGTAAAGCCAAGGCCGGAATCTGAGATGCACTGCCTGGCAAACTAGAACACTGATTTCAAATTTCTGGTCTCAATTGTGGTTTGCCATGATCTCCTGTTCTAAGTAAACATTATAAGCAAGGTATTACGAACTCAGTCGATGGACATCGCGACTGCTACTACTTTGATGAGAAGCTGCCTTGCTTTCGTTGTGGCCTACAGAGACAATGGATTTGAAGATACCATCACTGCTGCCAAAGAAATGGCAGAAAACTTAGGAGTTGAATGTGTCTTCAAGGAAACTTGTATTCCTCAGAAGAAGAGACAGCTTGGCTATGAGGGCAGAGATGAGGTGATGGGAAACTAGGAAGAGGGAGTTTTGCTCACTTGTTGACACCGCTGGAGTGTCCATGGAAGAAAGGTTTGGACAAATGAAGCACCACAAAAAGACCTGGGTGGTTTTGTATGACCTTAGTAAGCTGCTGGTGGACAGGAAAACACTCTTGAATAATTGTACTGACCTTCACCGGACGCTGACACATGGGGAATGTTCGGACATCAATGATAAAGACCTATACATCGAATTAGACAACATCTGTTACATTTTGCCACATGGGAAGCATTCTCCACTCCAAGTTCTCCAGTTCATTCATGATGCAGAGCTGAAGGACACCTTTCCTACTGTGCGGATAGCTTTGAGGATTCTGCTCATGCTGCCAGTCACAGCCACGAGTGATGAGCACAGCTTTTCAAAGCTCAGGCTCATTAAAACTTATCTTCGATCGATGATGGTCAACAAGATATTGACATTACTTGCTATTTTATCACTTGAAAATTCCATTGGCTAGTCTTTGGATCTCTCTGACGCTGTGCTTCAGTTTGTGTGGGCAAAGGCAAGAAAAGCGACCTTTTGAACTAAAACACTAGGGCAGTGTTTCTCAAACTGAGGTTGCTGCTTGTGTAGGGAAAGCCCCTAGCGGGCCGGGCCGTCTTGTTTACCTGCCCCGTCCGCAGGTCCAGCTGATTGTGGCTCCCACGGGACAAGGTTCACTGCTCCAGGCCAATGGGAGCTGCTGGAAGCGTACGGGCCGAGGGACTTACTTGAGAAACACTGGACTAGGGTTAACCTTCTAAGGCTGTCACCTACTGTAACACTATTTAATACTGGTCCACCTAATGTTGGGGCACAGTTCAATTTCTTTATGTTAGTACATTTCAGTTATTCTTAAAATTAAAAAGTTTCTATAAACTTACAGGAAATGATCTTTTTATTTGCTTATATATGGCATGAATAAATACAGATTTACAGATCCTAGCATGCAGATTTATTGTCTTATATGACAGGGAAAACCTTGCATACAAATGGTGTATCAAAATTTTCATCATCTCTCCTCTGCTGCTGACATAAATAAGTATGGATGGAGCAAAGGGCCTATAGATGGCGCTGTCGTACACCAGCTGATCCAAAACCAATCCTTTGCTGTTGCATGCCTTTCCCCTCCCTGCATAGGTTCTAGTATATGAGGGAACTTCTGTCTCTATTTCATGCACTGGAAGGATTAGCTATAATACTCTTATTTCATAAGACATCCTACCATATATTTGCCAATTAGGAGGAATTTTGTACTTACTATCAGGTATTGAATAATACGCTTGTTGGATATCACACTTAAGAAATTGTGACTGTCGTTCAGTCCAGAACTTCCAGACTTAAAAGCAAGGATTCAAATTTCTTTACTAAAGTGATATCAGAAGGGCTGCAAGCTTTTCATCAGAGTTCACACTGGTGGGCAAGCCCCTCAAGTTTGTTAACGTCACCTTATGAACTGTCTAGCATTTGTGCCTTAATGCTTGTGAGCCATGTAGCAGTTGACTATTTCCATTGTAAATCTGAATGTAGCAATTAGACTCTCAGTGAAGATCTAACTTAAAGAAAGAGATAAAAATAGCACCATTATATCAGTAGAAATGTCCAGCCAGCACAATTAGGAAATGTAAATAATATTCAGAACATGATATTAAGGTTATGAACATTATTCTGTAAAAAAAAAAAAAAGATTTCCAGTTGTTGATTAGTGGGTTCAAAACACAGTCTATAACACATGATTTATTATAATGTCTAGGAGGAATATACACTGAAAAAACTTTGTCAAAATTTGCCTGTTTTTGACTAACAACACTTGTGTGAAACTGTTGCAAAAAAATATTGGAGTTTTGTATGAATTATTTTCCCACTGTGAGGATGACTCTATCTTAATCATTTCTAATTTGTTGAACATTGAAGTATCTTGGCACCTAATTTTGCAGCATTATATTCTTTATTTTCAAGCTGAGCCAGTTGGTTGTGAGTGGTCACATGGTATTGTTCTGGTTCCTTGATAGGATAGGCTGACCTTATGTGGATAGGATGATTGGCAAAACCCATTTTGGATGTATTTCTCTGAAGAATATGCTATAAGTATTCTTATTTTGGTATCACTTTGCAAAATTGCCATGAAAATTTACCAAATCAGGCACAAGATCTAGTCACTCACTCTTTTCCTTGAAAATAGAGAAAATATAAATGATATTTTAGTCACCACAAGTTAGTGGGTGAGTACAGTTTTCCAAGACTGTCTCTGAAATAGTCGAAAGAAGTCTCATTCTGTGCTTTTTTGGTGCCTACAGTCCAAAAATCAATGGGAACTGATTATTGATTTGTTTTAAAATTTATATTTCATTTTCACCATTTACAGAGCATATACAAGTATACATTAATGGCCCTGATCCTGCAAAGCAGCCTATATGGGGGTTACCTCTTACCCCACCTTCAGATCCCAATTGACTACATCCAATCAGTGTCAGAGTTCATGGCAACAGCACTAGTACTGCCCCTCTCTGGTCCACCAAAGGCACTCACTCTCAGGCTTGTGACTCCCTGACTGTCATGTCTCTTGGGAAAATACATGCATCTCACTCCCTCTTGACCAGGGTATTTCCAGGTGACACAGTTCGTTGCCTTCTCTGTGAATTCCCCAGCAAGTCAGACTGCCTGAGCAGGCCTGCTTTGCTTTTCTCCTCATAGGCTTTAATCAGTGTAATTGCCCATAGTTATAAGGTACTACACACATTTTCCTAATCAAGCCATTTATTCTTAAGGTGAAAACATTATAGAGAAAATATTTTTAAACAATAAAGAAACCTACACACATGCTTATCAGAGCTCATTGCAACTTCAGCAAGGGTTCTGGTAGGAGACAGTCCTTCAAACCCCACCAAGGGGGTTTTCTGTGGTTCATACAAGTTACAAGTTCATAACCACCTTGGCTCAGAACGAGCACACTCATGAATGTATGAGCCACTCCTGTATACAGATTGGGCCTCTGATCTTGTCCTCATGTAACAGGTGATCAGCGGACAAAGGTCCCCATCTCAGGGGCTGGGCAATGCTTCAAAAGGCTGAGTTCTTACATAACCAGAGGTATATTAGTATATACCACCCCTTAGAGATTTCGTGGGAGACCCCACTTTAAAAGTTCATACTTGTCTGGTCCATTGTTTCAAATAGTCCTTGGAAGCTCATAATACTTCCCAGGGTTTACATTAGCCATGTTTCCCTACTAGAAATGTTACATACAATCCCACAATAATATGTAATCATTTGCATATTTAATACAATGAGCTCCTAAAACTTAATTCAATAAGGTTTGTTCAGAATATTACAGGAAATTATCATATCTGTCACAATCAGCTATTACATGTACAGGACCCGGGGCCATGTGAGTTCTTTCCTCTGTATGGACTCCTACAGGCATTCTGTCTGAAATTGGTGACATGGATTTGCTAAAATCTTGCATTCTGTATCTGTCATGCAGGCTGTACCCATACCTGTATTATAAGATTTAGAACTATATCAAAAAATCTGCATGCTTCATAAAATCTTTTTTTTTTTTTTTTTTTTTTTTTTCAAGGCCACAGATCCACAAAGTCCTTGAGTGCAATGTTAACTTTAAGCACATTGACTTTAATGGGACTACTTGTGTGCTTACAATTAAGCATGTGCTTAAGATCTTTGTTTGATCACTCCCACAGTCAGTCTGATCCTTGGAGAAGTAGTATTTGGGATGTATTTTTATTTGTGCTGCTTAACCAGCTATATATTGTTTCAAGTGTGGTCAAAGGGTTTGATTGTGATTGCTAAACTATAATTTGTCTGCTTCACCATCAATGAGGACCAGCATTCAGCCCAGACCATTTTTTTCCCGACAAGCATAAAAGCTACCTCATTAGAAAGTCAGGTAAAAGGAGTAGTATATTTGAAATGATCTTTAAAAATTTAGGCTTAAGTCCTCAGTAATGTATTTTTCCTAGTTCATTAATGCAGAAATACTGCACAGAGATTTTAATCTTAGAGTTAATAATAAAAGCAATTTTCACTAAAAATATAAAAACTGTAATGGTAGAATCATGATATTGCATTTTAGCTCTCCCACAAAAAGTCACTTTATTACTTTCTTTTGACACTTATTTTCATTCTGGGATTAATTTTACTATATAAGGGCTTCTTAACTATTCTATTAAAATTTCCATTCAGAAGCAATAATATCTAAGAGTGAATAATAGTCATGTAAATCATTATTTCATATTAATGTAAAAGATTTTGTAAGTTCTTATGAATTCTGCTGACATGCACAATTGTGAAAAGGTTATCTCTACATTCTGCAGTGATATGCGCTGGAACAAAGGAACTATTTTAAAAGCATCAGTGGAGTACATCAAGTGGCTACAAAAAGAACAACAGAGAGCTAGAGAATTAGAACACAGACAGAAGAAATTAGAGCAGACTAACAGAAGACTTCTACTTCGAATTCAGGTTTGTATAAGAATGTCACTATGAACTACAAAGATTTCTCACTACTTATCCATCATCAAATTTAATTCATCTATGTCATTTTTTCTTCTAAATGCCATTTATTAAAAGTGGATTGGCCATTGCAGGAATGGTACAATTTTACATAATTTTACGAGTCCATATTTATTGCTATGCAAGTTCTTTAGATTTCTAGAAAAATCCTTTGATAATTGGGCCTTATGCAAGGTAACATATCTATAGAGAACTAATACAATATTTTGAAGAAATGTTGCCTTCTTATGTAGTATATCTACATTATAACTACAGAAAAAAATTAATTTGTTTCCCTAAAACAATATTGAACACTAAATCCTCCTCCATATTTTCTTTTCCTCTTTGTAAAATTTCCACGGCATTGCATTGCCTTGGGGTACATTGTGCCATGTTATATTAAGTCACACATCATCTGTTCATGTGACATAAAGTATCAGAATCTGGGTCTCCATAGCTTGAAATGCAAGATTTAAAGACATATATCATCAGGTAAGGTACCTGCTATCTCTCCAGATAGCAGCCTTGAATTTTTGTGGATAATTAATAAGTAGAAATGTCTGCAGCATTTTTCCATCACTTTTAAGTGGTTCAGTACTGTAGGTAATGGTATTATGGGGGCTGTCATATCTCCTATATTCTCATAGGGCATCCACTTAACTACAGGCTGAGAATTAAAAAGAAAACCAGCCCATGTTGTTTATTGCTATTTATCATGGATTGTCCATATATTGTATTTTGAAACATATTGCCACAACTGGATTAAAAATTACAGTGCATGTGCATGTACAGTATGTATGTATATTTAGAACCTTCAGTGGTTCTAAAGAAATCAAGTTCCCTTCCAAAATCATTATTTAAATCTTTTTTGTTTGAAACCATAGGAACTAGAAATACAGGCTCGTGCACATGGGCTACCACTCATGTCTTCACTCGGTGCTGTGGATGTAGCTGCCCAGGTCATCAAGCAACAGACACATCCAGAGGAGAATTCCATAGACTATTCTCAGCAACTGGTTCCGGTACATGGACCAAGTGCTGACCTTTGTGATGGATCAACAGCCTTTTCTGATCCTCTCTCGCATTTCACCGATTTGTCTTTTAGCGCTGCTTCAAAAGAAGAACAAAGGTTGGAGGAAATCTTGCTGGATGACACAATATCACCATTTGGAACAGATCCACTCTTGTCTTCAATATCGCCTGCTGCATCAAAAGAGAGCAGCAGAAGAAGTAGCTTTAGCACAGATGATGGAGAGGATTTCTAAAACTAGAAAGGGCATAATTAATTTTTATAATGATTTGCTGGTGCTAAGAGATTGTGTTATGAATTTAAGTGTGATGTTTGTACTCAGTTCAAAGAAGGTGGAGAACTGTTGTGCACATAAACTGCTGCATGGGTAGGATGTAGGTGAGTGCATATTTCACAGAAAGACGAAAGATGGACATGGATTCATATCTCTTTGCCCAAAATTGACTACATCTGTTCAGAGCTAGCATTTGCACAGACCCTTCCTTATTCACTGGGAAGCCTTTAGCCATTTCCCCCCGCATTCTCACAGCAGTATTAAGATGGTTCCCAGGAAAATGAACACCCACATTGCAAAAACATATTCAAATGCTCTGTTGAATCTACCACTCGCTTCTCTCAAATTTAACGATGTTTTAGTCAGAAATATTTGTTAATTTCTTTTTAAGTGAAAAGGAGAAATTTCAATAAATACAATTGCAACACAACATTGAGGAAATGTTTGAATGTGATGTTCCTGCAATAGAGAGGTTACAAACATCAAAAAAAGGGAGCACAGCGCTCTTGTCAGAGTAAAGTCAGCATAAATTCAGCGCTTCATGAACTGCATCTCTTTCTTTTTATAATGAAACCACAAAGTCCATAAAGTTGTTTTTAGAATCCTTATAATTTCCGTTTTATTCCCATTTAGAAAAGTATCCAATATTTTATGTTTATTTTCGAACGCTTTAGTGCAACCGAAGAAGAAAAAAAACCTAACATAATGATAGTGATTTAAAAGAATTAATCAGACAGAAACAGATGCAAGTTTAAGCAGCTTCAAGGCAGATTCTGTTCAGGCAACAGAACATACTAAGAATGCAGGTATGTTCAAGACACAATTAACATATTCAGTGTTACAGTTAGTACAAATAAAAACAGCCATTAATGCTAATATGGCTAACACCAGCTCTTTGTTGCAAACTCTTCTCTCTACTGTTTTTCTTGAGAAAGCTTTTTCCAGATGTGAATTGTACCTTGTTTCCTGTTATGGCATAATAAGGTTTTTTTAAATTGACTATATCTAAATTGATACCTACGTCTATGAGCCAGTTGGATATGGAAGGCAATGCATTGGATTCCCATTATATGCATTTTGTCAGAGAGAATTTCACTTTAAATTCGTCTCTAGATTCACTATAAAAATGAAGTAGGCAGACCTTGGAATCATAAGGGATATTCCTGATACCTATTGATATGATCCACTGCTTTCTAACATGCTAGTACTGGGCACTCACAAAACATGAGGTTTGGCAGTTGGAGGGCAGGTAGAAGACACATGATTTTTGTACATAGTGGGATTTTGGAGAGTGATATATATACTTGGAATAGATGATGTGCAATCATTCTAATTCTAATAGGAATACACTGGAAATTGAGCTGGCCCAAGTTCTTCAAAGCTTTCCTCAACTGAGTCAAAAGAGCATTGTGGGGGTCTTGGTGCAAGTCAAAAAATGTTTCAAAAGTAAAAGTGTTGTGTTCCACTTTGCTCTGCCACAGCCTGCCTAAAAAAGGTATCTTATAGATATGGGTAGTGGAGTAGCTAAGGGAGAGTCAATTGGGCTGCTAGTTGAGTGAATGGACATTTATTGTCCAAGAATAAGTCTTTACCCTGATAGATTCATTTTCTTTTAAAAAAAACAAATTGTGCCCAGAAGTCAAATGAGACCTCCTGGAATATCCATTCAGTTTGCTAAATGGATAGTTCCCTTAGGTAAATGCTTTTACAGGGGCCATAGCCCAGGCCTGACTAGTGTGCTACAGCATATCCAAACAGTTTGAGGTCTATAGTTTCCTTATCTGGTGTACTCTTGATGGAATTTTATCTTCTCATTCCATTTCACTTGGACTGACTTCAGTGCATTGCTAGGAGTTTAAGACATGGATTTATAAATTGTATAATTGCATCCAAGGGTCTAGAAAGCATTGCAGACATGTAGTAAAACCAATCTCTATCTGTCTAAAGGAAACATTTGAGTTTTTCTGTCAACTCAAGGAGTTCTATTAGCTCATATAAATCAAATGATTTAGACTGTAAGTGCTTTGGGGCAGGGACTCTCTTCTTGATATATGAGTGTATGAGTGCCTATTACAATGGGGCTCTGATCCTTGATTGAGGCCCCTAGTTGTTACTACAATGCAAATAATAAATAACAACTGACATGTTAAGTATTTTTTTTAAAGAACATCGGGAATGGGAGCATGAAGGGATATTAACCAAAAGTAATTGAATATAGGAAGAAGAGCCATTTTAATTAGAATAGCTCAGTAAACTAGGGTCATCAGGAGAAGAGCCTACTTCACTAGAGTTCACAGTTTTGTCAGGGACTAGCTCAGCGGTTTTCAACCCGCAGGCCGCATGCGGCCCAATTAGCACACAGCTGCGGCCTAGCTCAGCTGTGTGCTAAAGGCTTCTTCTCCATGTGGCGGGATCTGGGTTCCCGGCTGCCTGCAGTGACAGGGTCTGCGGCTGCCGCCCAGCCCCACAAGCTCTGGGGGTCTGGGGTGGGGCAGCCGCCTGGCCCTGTGAGCTCTGGGGTCGGGCACCGGCTGGTCCCGTGAGCTCTGAGGGTCGGGCAGCCAGCCAGTCCCGTGAGCTTCTGGGGTCGGGGTCTGGGCTGCCGGTCCTCTGCCACCTGGCCCCTGCAGCCCAGGTAACACATTGTGGGCCGCATATGTAGCCCACAATGATAAATAAGTTGAGAACCACTGGACTAGCTTGTAGTGAAAGTCAAATACAAAATAGGATATATCCAAAGTAACATTCATGCACAGATTCCTAATTTACGATGTGTATTGCCCATTTCAACTGCCAAAGGGAGGGAATTGTTGGCTAATGTCAAGTATTTTCATTTGTCTTTGTGCTGTAGTTTCTACTACATTAGTTTTAAATACACCAATGTGAGTTTGCTCATAATGGAGAAAAAGAAATTAAATATGAATGTGTTACATGATTTTCCCATTGAATTTTTAGACCATACCTAGGAACCATATTGACTTTAAGGAAGATCCTGAATTTAATCACTTCTACAAGTGCTGCCCTAAAAAAGTATTACAGTGCATCCATGAATTTTTTTAAAGTTCATTTTTATTCATCTTACAATGCCCTCAATATGAAACACCAGATGTATTTTCTGCATGAGAAATCTAACAGGCGGTGCTTCTATTTCCAGATACTGACTGCTGTCTCTGCAAATAAATATATTGACAACAACTACACTCTCATCAAGCTGTAGTCATTCATGAAAATGCTTATGTTAATGCACATGATGATAATGCTGTGTCAATGCCATCAAATCATTTTTCCAGTAGAAATTCATCATTTCAAATAATCATTAGTGTTTTCATGAATTACTACAACTTAATAAAAGATATAGTGTCACCCCTGAAATCAGTGATATAGAGTGGAAAATACTTCTCCGACCCATCTTCTAGGGGATGAATCTTTGAGGGAAAAAGAAAATTAAGTTGGCTGCTTAGTGGCAGAGTCTATAGTTTCCTGGTTTGATCTTTTAATACAAACACATTAATGCTTACAAAAAAGGCAATGGAGAGGTGCCCTACTGAGTTAAGGAAGCTTCAGAGAAGGCTAGATGGCCAGAGCTATCTCTGTGTTGGTCTCACTATCCAAAACTTCCTAGAATAACAAATTCTCTGTGTCAGCTCAGCTTTAGGGAGATGGTACTAAAGCTTAGTACTTTTTAAACCAGGGCACAATGCTTTCTTCATTGCACGCCTGTGCAGAGGAAAGGGATTTGATGAATATGGGGACAAATCCTGAAGCAAAACTACTATTGATGTCAATGAGTAAATTATGTATTGGGATTGCAGGTTTTGGTGCATGAGCAATATGTCCAAATTATGTCTAATACAGCCTCGTTTGTTGAAGTCTTATACAAGAGGTGTGGAGTGTGTCTATGACTCAGGCCCGAAGAAAGAAAACTTCTACAATTCTTCTAGGATATCCACTATCCACAGGTGCTGGAACTAGGGGTGCTGGGGGTGCAGCAGCACCCTCTGGCTTGAAGTGGTTTCCATCATATACAGGGTTTACAGGTTGGTTCAATGGCTCTCTGCACCCCCACTACACAAATTGTTCCAGCACCCCTGCCACTATCTTCATTTTTTACAGATATGTTAAATGAGGAGCTTTTGCCCATTTTCAGTATTAAAAGCTGGTTGTCATATTCTTACAGTATACATGAACCAGTGAACTGATAATTATACAAAAGGAAAGGGAGTTGAAATATTACCATCTTGTTTAATTCATGAAATGGATATAGATACTATACTAAGAAACAAGACCTAAATTATTTCACTATCTACACTGGGGATACTGTTTGAAAAGGTAAAGTAAGTGCAAACATTTTAACAAACAGAACTGCAGTTGCTTTATAGGGTAAAGGACTAAATATAATTCAGTCATTTAATCTTAATAAGAACATTGTTATTATAAAACCTTTTGACTTTAATAGGGCTGTATATATGAATGGAGGTTGTAAAATTATTGTAATTTAAAATTATGTTAAATCTGTTAGATCAGTAAAGGCATTTACATTACTAGCATGAGACTAGAATATTTTTATAATAATTGCTATTTTTCGTTGTTAACGATACAGTATCTTGTTTTCTAAGTAAATGTATGTGACAGAATATACTTTATTACATACTGTACATGCAATCTTTATAAAAAATACACTTGATATGTCCTGGTGTTTTATGTTTATTATATTAATACAATTAAAGAACTAAAATTAAAACTTTTTTTTATATATCCCTTGTGAAATCTCACTGTCCAGACTCACTAAGAACCCACTGCAAAACAATATAATAACATCAGCCAAGAGCATCCGAGGAGATACCTACTAGGCTTCACAACTGCTAAACATTTAGTCCATTAGGATACATCATGATCCAGAAGCCTTCCATTAATGAATATAATTGATATATTCTTTAATATGTTCTCCTGCCGTCTGCTTA